GAACTAATCACTAATTTCTTTTGTCTTTGATGACACAACATGATGTGTTACTAGCTATTTTTCAAGTATTCAGCTTCAGGTGAAACTTAAAGGGATATTTCACCCAAATATGAACATTAACTTACTATTTACACCCTCAAGTGGTTCCAAACCTTTATGAGTTTCTTTCTTCTCTTGAACACAGACGAAGATATTTTGAAAAATACTGAAATCCTGTAATCATTGACCTCCATAAAATAAAAACAAATAAAGAAGTCAGTGGTTACAGGTTTCCAGCTTTCTTCAAAATATATTCTCTTCTGTTTATTTATTTATATTAACTAACTTATACCGATCTGAAACAAGAGTGAGTAAATGATGACAGAATTTTCATTTTTGTCTGAACAATATTTTAAAGACTTAAAGATTAATTAAGTTAATTAGGCAAGTCATTAAACAACAGTGATTTATTTATATACAGTTAAAGTCAGAATTGTTAGCCTTACTTTATTTTTTGTTTCCCAAATGATGTTTAACAGAGCAAGGAATTTTTTACAGTATGTCTGATAATATTTTTTTCTACTGGAGATAGAAAAAAATTATAATATTTTTTTACTTATTGGTTTTCACTTTGGCTAGAATGAAAACAGTTTTACATTTTTTAAAGCTATTTTTATACCAATAGTCCAAAGAACAAACCACTGTTATCTAATGCCTTGCCTAATTTCCCTAACCTGCCTAATTACCCTAAATAACCTAGTTAAGCTTGTAAGCTTGTAAATGTAAGTGTCTTGAAAAATATCTAATTAATATTCTGTTCATAATGAAATTTTTATATTGCATTACTAGAAAAATCTGCTCTCCGATAAACAAAAACTGAGAAAAAAATATATATATATGCATATATATATATATATATATATATATATATATATAGGAAATGTCCTCACTGTGTTAAACAATATTCTGAAAAAAAATAAAATAAATTGCCTATAATCATGTGTGTGCGTGGATGATGGCACTGAGCAAAAAATATCCTACTGATCTCGAAATTTCATTTCAGTGGAGACATAAACTCACTTTTTCCACTGCTTAAATCATTAAAACATGCTCAGTGTGTGATGGCATGAGAGAACGAAAAAACATAAGCAAATTCTATAACATGCATGATGAGAAAAAACACTGGAATATAAGTTTAGTCTAGTTTAGTTTATGAATTATTTAGTTATTCTTATTGAAGGATCAAGTTAATTCACATATACTGTACAGTTGAAGTCAGAATTATTAGCCCCCTGTTTATTTTTTCCCCAATTTCTGTTTAACAAAGAGAATAATTCTTCAACACATTTCTAAACATAATAGTTTCAATAACTCATCTCTAAAAACTGATTTATTTTATCTTTGCCATGACAGTAAATAATATTTGACTAGATATTTTTCAAGACACTGGTATACAGCTTAAAGTTACATTTAAAGGCTAGTGAATTAGGTTAATTAGGCAGGTTAGGGTAATTAGGCAAGTTATTGTATATTGATGGTTTGCTCTGTAGACCATTGAAAACAAATATAGCTTAAAAGGGCTAATAATTTTGTCCATAAAATGGTTCCTAAAAAATTGAAAACTGCTTTTATTCTAACGGAAATAAAACAAATAAGACTTTCTCCAGAGGACAAAATATTATCCGACATACTGAGAAAATTTCCTTGCTCTATAACATAATTTGGGAAATATTTAAAAAAGAAAAAAAAACTTCAAAGGGGGCTAATATTTTCCTATCTTTCTCAGACTTCATCTGTATACCACATTATATGATACAGATCTTAATCAAAGCTTTGTAATAAATATATACATTTCAGTGCTTTTAAAGCGTTACCTTTTTGGTACATTTATAAAAGCATGACATACTTTAATAAATTAAATTGGCCGTAGTGTATGTGTGTGAATGACAGCGTATGGATGTTTCCCATTAATTGAATTGAATTATTACTAAATATTAAATATCTTCTAACCATGGTCACATTTTCTCAGCAGCGTGACTTATAATAATGGATAAATGCTGGAAAAGTTTTCTAAATATAAAAGGCATGACGCTGAGCGCTGAGTGTTTCCAGAGTGGAAAAAAAATGTAAAAATAGTTCAGAGCAGATGAAAAGTTTGTGTTTTTTCTGCTTAGCAACATTGGTTATTTATTTATTTAACACTTAATAAATTCTGTCCCTCTTTGTGGGGAGACCGGTCATTAACAACAATGATATAAGCAGCTTTCCAGTCAAATCTTTCCGTTTCTTTCGCTCTCTTTTTAGCACAATTCATCCTCTTTTTGTACCGCTTTCTTATAAAAAAAAGAGAGTAATAATGACACATTGTGCTGATTGGAGAAAGAAAGAGTGAACGACAGACAGAAAGAAACAGAAAGGAGTGAAAGAGTTCAGGGCACAAGAGTCTTCCTGCAGTACAATGAGAGGGTTTGTGAGTCGATTGACTTTTGACCTCTACGAGCACTGACGGCTTTTTACTCCTTCCTTCACATATCAATGCACTACTGTATTTTTATTTTTACATGGACAGGGTCCCGTTAAGTTTTTTGAAAAGATGTTAAACTAATTACACAAACTACTTGTAACTACTTTTCTTTTTATTATTATTAGTCAGTGATACAGTGTAAAAACAAACGCGTTAATGAACAGTTTCCATATTTTGTGATTCACAAGTGTGGAATTCCTGTTGTGATTTGCAGGTACACCTGTCCAACTGCTCGTTAACATAAATTTCTAATCAGCCAATCACATGGCAGCAACTCAATGCATTTAGCCATGTAGACATGTTCAAGACGATCTGCTGCAGTTCATATCGAGCAACAGAATGGTGACGAAAGCTGATTTAAGTGACTTTGAACATGGCATGGTTGTTGGTGTCAGATGAGCTGGTCTGCATATCTCAAAAATTGCTGATTTACTGGGATTGTCATGCACAACCATCTCTAGGGTTTACAGAGAATGGTCGGAAAAAGAGAAAATATCCAGTGAGCCGCAGTTCTGTGGGAGTAAATGCCTTGTTGATGCCAGAGGTCAGAGGAGAAAAGCCAGACTAGTTCCAGCTAACAGAATGGCAATAGTGAGTATTGTTGTTCGCCATATCCATACCTTTATGACCCTTTACAGTGTACCCAACTTCTGATGGCTATTTCCAGCAGCATAACTCACATGTCATAAAGCATAAACCATCTCAGACTGGTTTCTTGAACATGACAATGAGTTCACTGTACTCATATGGCCTCCACAGTCACCAGTTCTCAATCCAATAGAGCACCTTTGGGATGTGGTGGAACGGGAGATTTACATCATGGATGTGCAGCTGACAAATCTAAAGCCTTCAGCATGCTATCATGTCAAATGGACTAAAATCTCTGAGGAATATTTTCAGTACCTTGTTGAATCTATGCCATAATTTTAAGGATTAAGGCAGTTCTGAAGGCAAAACGGGGTCCAACCCGGTACTAGTAAGGTGTACCTAATAAAGTGGCCGGAGAGTGTATATTAGAATAAAACAGCTTCAAAATTGATTGAATAGACTGGATGGTTGTGATTTGTCATTGGTGAAATCGACAAGTTGATCCCACCCTCATGGCTTCTCATCTGAGAAGAGCTGTTGTTAAAGAGGGAGGGTGATTTTGATTGAAAATCATATAATAAATAATTGACAAATAAAAAATTATTAATATTACAAACACTTTTATTAAGACTATAAATAAATGTTAATTTAAAAATAAATCCATATAATATATTTAACTGGAGTTTTCTTTTCGGCTTAGTCCCTTCATTTATCAGGGGTCGCCACAGCGGAGTGAACCGCCAACTTATCCATCATATGTTTTACGAGGCAAATGCCCTTCCAGCTGCAACCCATCACTGGGAAACATCCCTAAACACTCATTCACACTCATACACTATGGACAATTTAGCTTACTCAATTCACCTGCACCACATCTCTTTGGACTATGGGGGAAACGGGAGCATGATGAGAATATGCAAACTCCACACAGAAACTGATCCAGCCGGGGCTCGAACCAGCAACCTTTTGAGGCAATTGTGCTACCCATCCTGCTGCGCCGTATGCATATATAATTCATTCATTTTCGGCTTAGTCCCTTTATTAGTATGGGGTCCCCACAGCGGAATGAACCACCAACTTATCCAGCATATGTTTTACGCACCAGATGTCCTTCCATCTCTGGGAAACTTCCACACACACTCATACACTGGACATTTTGGCTCACCCAATTTACCTGTACCGCATGTCTTTGGACTGTGGGGGAAACCAGAGCACCCAGAGGAAACCCACGCAAACGCAGGGAAAACATGCAAACTCCACACAAAAACGCCAACTGACCCAGCCGAGGCTCGAACCAGCAACCTTCTTGCTGTGAGACGACAGAACTACCCACTGCGCCACTGCCACTTAATTTTTCTTCACTTATAATAATTCAAAGTTATTTATCAAATACATGATATTTAGCCATTTTATTTCTTTAATAAGTTATGTTTATTTCTATAATATATTAAATAACATACAGCCAAAACTAAATATTATTGAGACACCAAATATAATTTTTGATATTTTTGGGACACTACAGTAAGGACAGCTAAATAAAGTAAATACCCTGAGTTCTTGTTATATTTATTACCATTTTCAAAAGCTATACTGAATAAAATTGAGAAATGTTGAAGGTGTCTGAATAAATTTTGACAGTAACAAATAATAAAGTGCTAAACAATTGCTAAAAATATGTCAGTAAATCATTGGTGTCCCCTCAAATCATCAACTCACTTCAGGTCAGTTTGTGATTTTTAAATTGCTCTTAGTTTGAATTCATTCTTAATTTAAGCACTACTCAAAACATCAAGATGATAATGAGCTGTACTGTGCTCTGTCTGTCTGTCAAAGAATCATTTCTCAGAGGACGTGTTGAACCCGGACCCTCACAGGGCATCAGGCCTGTTCATGGCTGCTGAACTCTGACCTTTGCATTGCCCTCGACTGACCGCCAGCTGAGGGTCACGGCACTTTGCACGGAGAAACTCGCAGCGGGAACTGAAGGTCCGTCCGTCTGATGCGCACAGAGGCTTTCGAGGAGCTCCAGAGCAGTCTGTGTTGCATTCTTTATCCTGCTCCACACGCAGAAACTGGAAGAACAGACAAAGAGAGATGTGAGCATGATGCCGAGCAAACAATCTAATTCTATGAGGACTTATGTAGCACACAAATGTGGGGAAAATTAACATATTGATTTAATATTACTGATATTTATATATATATATATATATATATATATCTTTATACCACAGTTCTGTCTAGTTCTTGAATCTGATTGGCTCATAGCAGTATGATATTCCTGTAATAACAGCACTTGTACAGCCTCTTCACTGTTGTGTAGTACTCCGCCCTCATAGAGTGAAAGCGGATCAATAAACTCACTACAATTTGACAAATATTGCAGCTGTTGTACAACTTAATGTACTTTTGAGGCTTATTAGTCGAGAATGACATTGTTTAGATTGCAACTATACAGTTTATTTATAAAGACAGTGTCTATTTTTATATATTTATAATTTTGTAGATTCAGTGCGTCATCATCCATCAGCCTGTACTGAGTAGAGCAAAGACGGTTGATGTTGTCCATCCACAAGATGACAACAGAGACCGTACAATAAGCCCTTAGAGGAGATAAACTTAGCGTAATTTTTACTACAGCTGATTAAATCATTATTAAACAGTCAAATGACATTCTGAGTCGATCTCTCTCTGTTTTGTATGTTGTAGTGCTGTATTTATACCATAGTAATTGTAGTATGTTGAGTGTGAGAACTATTAGCCCCCCTGAATTATTATGCCGCTTGTTTATTTTTTCCCCAATTTCTGTTTAACGGAGAGAAGATTGTTTCAGCACATTTCTAAACATAATAGTTTTAATAACTCATTTCTCATAACAGATTTATTTTATCTTTGTCATGATGACAGTAGATAATATTTTACTAGATGTTTTTCAAGACACTTCTGTACAGCTTAAAGTGGCATTTATAGGCTTAACTAGGTTAATTAGGTTAAGTAGGCAGGTTAGGGTAATTAGGCAAGTTAGATTATAAGACTTCCTCCAGAAGAAAAAATATTATCAGACATGCTGCTGTGAAAGTTTTCTTGCTCTGTTAAACATCATTTGAAAAGTATTTTAAAAGGGAAAAAAAAATTTGAAGGGGGCTAATAATTCTGACTTCAACTATATATGTATATAAACATATATATATATATATATATATATATATATATATATATATATATATATATATATATATATAGCTATATGCCTATATGCTATATATATATATATATAGCTTAGTGCCCCCACCAGTGCCGATATACAGCCATATTGCACAGCTACGAGTGTGATATTGCGTTTATACAACAGTTTAACGGCATAATTGTGTATATAAAAACAAAATCAACCATGGAGTGTCTCAAAAACCCTTTTGTATGTGGAACTTCTTTCTTCCAGATTCAAATCATAAGCTGACAGTTAAAAAGTTGAGCTTGCATCTTTTAAACTTTAGATCTGTAGTGTCTGCTTTTTGCTGGCTGTATGAGGGCGGAGTAATACACAAAGGGTAAAGAGGCTGTAGGAGTTCTGATATTGCAGAATATCACACGGCAATCAGCCAATCAGATTTGAGAACCAGACAGAACTGTTGTGTGTGTGTGTGTGTGTGTATATATATATATATATATATATATATATATATATATATAGTGTTTATTTAAATTATATATATTTGTTTTTAAAATACATTTTGAAAAATTCCCTAAAAATTAATATTTTTGGTGTGTTAACAGATTTACTATATAATGAAAGAAATGAATTATTTATTATCTGATGGCTAAATAAATACTCAAGAGCATAACTGCATTTTGTGCACAACAACATAATTTTAATTGCAAATAAACAAAAAGTATTACGTTTGTTATTACACTTGTTTTAGTGAAGTCTGCAGTGAACGGCTTTGTTTGCTATTTTTTGATCTCCTGAACCACTGCATAAAACACAAAGAGATGCGTACAGTATATAGACAGTGTTCACACACTCCTCTGCGTCTGCCGTCCCGTGTCATGTCTTGTTTGTGAATGAGGGATTGTGGGAGAAAGGCAGAGGTGCTGACGGCCTCTCTGTAGCACTTTTATCTGTCTGTCACTCTCACACCTGCACGGGTACCAGCACAAACACACACATATACATATGCTAACTGAAAACTGTGTCTTCTAACTCAGCACTGCAAACAGCATCTCACCGACCCATAGATTCAAGATGGAACATGAATGGTCTGTGTATCGGGACATTATCTGCACAGGTGTGTGTTTAATTGTGTGTTTAATGTTTGTTATAATCATTTAGCAGGAGAATACACACAAAAAAAGACTTGAAAAGCTACACAAGCACAAACACACTCACCTGTGGCCTATAAATCAGCCGCAGGACAGCAGTGAATAAAAGCAGTGTTGAAAGCAAACCGATTCTTCATATAAAGCTGAGGGGAAGATCATTACCCGCTCCGAAATTAGCACTGGCTGACAAACTACAAATGACTTTCTATCTGTGTGTGAGTGTGAGTAAGTGAGCGAGTGTATTGTGTGTGTCTGTGTGTGTGTGTGAGCAGCTCTGCACCTGGAAGATGCTTTCGGAGGGGGTTTGCGGAGCAACCCTTTGCCCCTGGCGATGGAAGACAGTTCTGCTGTCATCTCTGATCGTAAATCTACAGCTGATGAGTTCTACCAAAGTGAGTGTGTGTGTGTGTGTGTGTGTGTGTGTGTGTGTGTGTGTGTGTGTGTGTGTGTGTGTGTGTGAGTGTATGTGTGTGAGAGAGAGTGTTTGTGATAAATATAAAGCAAAGAATCTGGTTCAGGCATATAGGAAGAGGATTGCAAATAGACTAAGACTTAACTGATCTTATATATATATTGTTTTTTTTATTTTTTATTTTTTTTATTTTGTAGTTATTGGTTATTTAATCATTTTACCTTATTTTGTATGTGTGTATGTACATGTGTATGTACCAGCGGTGTAGTCCTAAAAAATAAGGAGGTGTACTATTACCCACCCAATCCAAATTTTTAAAGTAGGCAAAGAAACGACGAAAGTCTATATATATATATATATATATATATTATATTATATTATATTACTTACCTGTAACTATTAACGTCCACAGGAGAGAAAACAAATACTATGGAAGTCAATGGTTACAGGTGTCCAGCTGTCAAAATATCGGTCTGGAACAAGTAATGTATGAGTAAATGATGACAATTTTCATTTTTTTGGGTGAACTATCCATTTAAAAAGAAAAATATTTAAACAAATGTATTCATTTTAATTCCAATTTAATGATTTATACTTAGCTAATAGTGAACCCAGCAGTCATAAAACTAAATCATTTTAATATGATCGAACATATGATATTTCACTCTGATGTCACTCAGCTATGCAGTAAAAATGAGTACACTGTGTTTAATCCTGCGCATGAATGTATGATATAGTTAATGCACATGTACCTGGTTTTTTGTTTTTATTGTTAATTGTGAAATAAATAGCAGCATGTCTATTAAGAGTTATTTTCGCTGGAGGAAACAGCTATGCTGCATGAGGGGAGCGCCGAGGAAACAATTATTTCTACAGCAAAGAACTAAAAATATGCAGATATTCTAATAATCTATCGATAAACACACCTTGTGCTCACGGTCTGCACAGCTGTGGTTTGCTGACTAAATGAGTATTGAGTTGAAAACGGAGGATCGAAAGTCTGCCGCCATTTTTATATCAAATTTATAGGTCTCTGAGGCGATCATTTAGTAGTGTACAGTTCATGAGGTAATCGCAAAAAGTTTTAGGGGGCTGAATGGAAATATAGGAGGGCTAAAGCGACGACAATGCTTGACATCATTCAGTAATTTGTGATCTACGAAAAACTCACAAAATGTTTTCAGAGCTGCTGCGGTCGTCAGGTGCGGGGAATAGCGCAAATGAAACAAAAGTCCAGCAATTGCAACAAATTAAGATGCGGGTTAAAAAAACATTTGGTATACAGTTACACGAATACACATAAATTAGGGGATTCTAATTACCAAAACAAGTGAGTATACTGAGGGTATATGCAATTATTGATCCTCAGAAGAAATTAAAATGGTCGTGCCCAACTGAGTCTGGTTCCCTCAAGGTTTTTTTTCTTCACTCCCATCAGGTGAAGTTTTTTTCCCTCTCCGCTGTCGCCACTGCCTCGCATGGTTTAGGATTGGTAGAGCTACGCATTGATGAATTGGCTCTTCAGTGTTTGAACTCTCAGTAATGATTAAATCACACTGAACTGAGCTAAACTGAACTGAACTGAACTTAAACACTAAAACCTGATCCACACTGTTCCAGTTACTATGACCATTTATGTGAAGCTGCTTTGACACAATCTACATTGTAAAAGCGCTATACAAATAAAGCTGAATTGAATTCAATAGAAGTCGCATCACCCAACAGTTTGTGGAAAAAAATAGGCAGAGTATACGTGTGTATAGCAAAGACTACACCACTGGTGTGTACCTTGTATTCCTTACACTCAAAAAACTGATTTTTGCTGCTTGTTCAAACTACTTACTTTAAATGAGCTGAATCAACACAGTTCTTGATTTTTTGGGTTGATTTAATTGGTTTAAGTTCAATTCACTTAAATTTGTAAAAACAATTATGTTAACTTACTCAATTTGTGTTGGGGGTTGGGGTTAGGGTATGGGGTATATGCGGTCTTTACAGTATAAAATACTTTACTTTCTGACTCACTTTTAAAGGACTCTTGAGGCTCTTGACTTGGTTTTAGGGTCAAGGTTAGAGATTAGTGTATAGATTGAGGTTTGGGTATGACCTTGATATTACAAATATAAAAGTGATTAATAGGGACATTCTTGTGTCCTCATAATCCAACATGCTTAAAAATCATATAAAATCAACTTAAATGATTAAATCAGCTTCAATGGCCCACAACTTAAATTGCAACAGGTTTCCTGGGGTTGAGGTAAGGGTATGGGGTATATGCGGTTTTTACAGTATAAAATACTTTACTTTCTGGCTCACTTTTAAAGGACTCTTTAGGGTCTTGACTTGGGTTTAGGGTCAAGGTTAGAGTAAATATTGAGGTTAGGCACTTGTTTTGATCATTAAGAACTAGTTTTGATGGCACATGCAAAGAAAAGGCTCGACCTGTGCAGTGCAACATACAGAATATACAGTCTGTGGAGTGTAAAAATTATTATGTCTATAGGAAGTCCCTATAAAACATTTTTTTTTAAAATCTGGTTTATGGATATTGTAAGAGGGTTGTGAGTGTGTGTTTTTGTGTGTTGAGCTATTGGTTGTTTAAACCTTGTGTGTGCGTGTGTGCGTGCGTGTGTGCGTGTGTGTGTGTGTGTGTGTTGTGCAGAGGCTGCTTTTTATGGCTAAGGGCACTAAACAGAGATGTAAGTGTTTTGTTGGGGTATGACCTTTGTCTCAGATGTTTCTTGTAAAACTTGTTCGCAGGAATAACAAAATAACTACAAATGAGTCAATTGTTGACATGCAATCATAGTAAAGCATTGTGTGGAAAGCAGATCATTTGAACTACTTGCAGTATGTGTATACTTAGAAAGCATAGTGTAGAAAGCAACTAGTGTGAGCTATTGCTTTCACCTTTTAGTTATACACTGTAAAAAATGCTGGGTTCCACACAATTCCTCCATGTTGTCTCAAACGCAAATCAATAAATTAACTTTAATAACTTTATTAAGTTAACTGCATTTTTTGAGCTGATTGAATGTTAAATTAAGTTGCAAAATAATGTAAAATTAATTAAAATATATTTTTTCATACTTTTTTCATAAATGTCACTTTAGACAATTCTTTGGTTTTAACAAGGTAAATTATATTTGGTGTCAAAACCAGCTAAATCCACTTGTGTTTTTTTTTTTTTTTTTGCAAAAACATCTAAATCCACCTACTGGGTCAAGACAAGAGTGTAATTAGTTGAAAATAACTAAAGATGCAATTAGAGATTGTTTTAACAAACATAAAACACCTACACAAACCACCTGAAATTAAAAATACATCTGCCATGTAAATGGCGGTTCATTCCACTGCGGTAACCCCTGATAAACCAAGAAAAAAGTAGAAGGAAAGAGAATGAATGAAATCTGTCAAGTGCACTAATGAATAACATTAAGACTGACTTTTATTAAATCTTAACAATCTGTTGTCATTTCTGATATTTGGGATTTGGAATTAATGCAAGTAAAGCAATGTAAACATTGCTAATTAATGCAAAATTAGTTGTAGTGTAAGAACATTGTGAAACACCAATATCTGTGCATTGTCCATTAATAAAAAGTAATGTAATTTATTAAAGTAATATGAATAATACATAGTTTTATACTATATATATATATATATATATATATATTTAAAATAGCTTACATAAGCAAATAAAAAGCAATGTAGGCCTAATGTGCAAAAGAGCGATGTTTCTCAGACACTTTTAGAAGCTGTCATTCATTCATTCTCACTATACTCAAGGTCTTGGTCTCTTTTTCGTCTCTTGTTTATCCTCATAGCATCCATGTGGGGAAAAAGAATGATATCCTAACTTCATCCTTCGTGAAACACAGTTGCCGTTTAATGTATAGTAAATCGGACTCATTCAAAGTAGCTTTGCTGCTCAAAAAACGTTATGAATGCATGCTACACGTCCGACTGTACAGTGTGTTTTCTTTTCCTTATAATCTAGAGAGTTTTGAGGTAAGGGACGTTTTCATTTCTCATTTACTGACAGTCGGACAGGCTTATGCAGTTCATCAAACCTCATCTTTTAAAATCTACTTCTGAAGTGGAAAAAAACAGTCTCCTCATTAAAGCCGGCGTATCACCGCGCTGCTACATTAAAAACATATGCTTCGATTTGCGCCTTCTGATTCGTTCTCGGGATATATCGGCTTTTGCTATCAAAGGCAAGTGGCGTTTAGAGGCTTTTGACAACAAACTGTTATTTCTGAATGCGCTGACGCTGCGATTTAGATGATTTTAAGCAAAATTATTTGTTGAACATGTAATATTGTGCCTAAAACATTCACTCAATATCATTAGTTCATTTTTGGCGGAAGCGGCGTTTGTTGGCTTTTGCATCTGAACTCTTCAAATATAGTTTTTGAGTGTATTACAGTAATATACAGTATTTATTTGATCAAATCATACTCTTTTATAGTGTTTATTCATTTTACTCCATCAACTGTGATTTCGAATCATCTCTGATTGGCTGCTGTACATCCTGTTTGTCTGTCTGCGTTATAAAGGGACAACAGTCCTCTTCATCATCCTGGACGGGCCGCTTTTCACTCTTCCCTCAGAATAAGTCTGGAGTTAGCTGTTTGGGGGTCTGTGTTTGTGACTGACAGACCCTCGCTGTCTGAGCTCATGGCTGACACCGAACCCCCTCCAAACACTCCACAAAATCTCTTTCTTCCCCTCTGGACAAGCGCGCAGTCTTTCTGTTGGCTCTCTCTTGCGTTTTTCTTTGTGTTTCTGGGTGCAGCTGTGACCCTGTGGCCCTTCCGCTCCGTCATTCCCCGTCTGCTGTCAGGAGTTTGCAGGAGGCCCGACAGAGATGTCAGGAAACAGATTCACAATCATCCACGATGGTCATCCTAGCATTTTCAGGCCAAGACGGAGTTTACAGTCTTCAACCCAGGCCAGGACACCACAGCCAACGCAGTTCAACTGGGTCACAGCTGGCGGTGAGACATGGACAGAACCAACACGACCACCATGGAGACACATTTGGAAATTCGTCAGCTGAGATTGATCCAAACGAGACCCCACAAAACACAAATAATCAGCCATCAATTCAGCCACAGCCAAGCCAAGACACCCGGAGCATTGAGCATCAGCAGGGGGATCTGAAGCCACCCACAACTGCATCAACAGCTGCTCGGAGAGACCCATCCCAGCAACACTCATGCTGTTTCGCAGCTATTATTTTAACGGTATTGTTCAATTTCAATATTTTATTATTTTTAAAATAAGTTTTAAAAAATCATCGTTGTCACTGATTTTAGTTTAGGCTTTTCCAGAAAGCAGGTAAGACAAAAACAAGGAAAAAAATAAACCATAGGGTGAGAATGTGGTAAGATCTGAAAGGTGGTAAAATCAAGAGGCCACATGGGCTTTTCTTTTTCTGGATTGCTTTTGAAAACACTGTCGGTTGGGTTTAGGGAAAGGGATGGGTGGGGGTAATGGTCGGTCCATCAGTCAGTCGACAGCGGCCTCCGGTGGATTTATGTGAGAACAGCAAGCTCAAATGCCACTTGTGAGATAAATCTGAGATCTGAAAAAGTGAATACAGCGGCCTCTGGTGGATTTATGTGAAAACAGCAAGGGCAAATGGCACTTGTGAGAGAAACCTGAGCTCTGACAAAGTGTAAACAGTGGACTCTGGTGGATTGGCGAAAACAAAAACGTACCTCCTGGGATGAATATAGGGGTACATATCAATGAGCCTGGGTTAAAATATTTTAGAAAAACTCTATGTTACATTATATTGTAAATATAACTGGAAGACATTGAATGTTTTATAAAATTTTTATGTAATATACATGTAATATATCATACTTTATTATTATTTTGTTATAATTATTAATTATGTTATAATAAAAACATTAACTTTAAATATGAGTTATGTTTTTTCCCAGTACTGGATTTCAGCTAGAAGGGCATCTGCTGCGTAAAACATATGTCGAAATAGTTGGCGGTTTATTGCACTGTGGCCACCCCTAATAAATAAAGCCTCATTCATTAGAGTGAGAATCCTTCAAATTTATTCAAATAAAGAGTGACTTTCTTAAGCAACAGCAAATAGGAGCACCTAGTAGAGCTCACGTGATCTTCTTCTTTCTTCTGCTTTAGATCTACACAGACTTGCATTTGCAGCAGGTCGCCACCCAGAACAACAGACGGCTACAAAGTCGCTGCTAGTGTGAATGAGGCATAAGGGACTAAGCTAAAGGAAAATGAATGAGTTATGTTTCATATTCATTTTGATTCACACTGTAAATAATGCTGGGTTCCACACAAAAGATTTGTGTTGGGACAACATGAAGAAAATAAGTCAACTTTTTAGTTTTTACAAATTTAGCTGGATTGAACATAAAACAATTAAGTTGTCCCCCAAAAATGTTTTTTTTTCTACCAGTTTAGTTCTTCAAGTACAAGTCAGTTAATCTGTTTTTCTGAAAATCTTTATGACAACAAATCATTTGTGAAATATGAATCATTTGGGGTTGTTCTAGTTCCAGTTAACTGCATGTAGGCCTACTATTTCTTTGGGCTATAAATAAATAAACTTTAAAAATTTACTGCTTATTATTGAGGTAACACTTTATTTTGATGGTCCATTTGAGTATTAGTAGACTGTCTTCTTAATACCAACTCGCTCTTTAAGATCTCAAAACTCAGGGCTTCTGGTAATACCTAGAATAGCAAAGTCGAGTAAAGGAGGTAGAGACTTCTCATTTATGGCTCCTAAACTCTGGAATAACCATCCTGATAACGTCTGAGTCTCAGACACACTCTCCCTATTCGAAACTAGATTAAAGACCTATCTGTTTAGTAAAGTATACACTCAGTGCATCACTAAGCGGGTTTCCACACAGGTTTCTGCATCTTGTTTATATACACTATGAACAGCAGCTATGCCAATTATTCTCTTTATTCTCCATTTCCACCTGGGTATAATTATCCCGAGGCCCTCAGACTATGCAGAGTTACTGATTCGATCCAAGACCAAGGACGAGATGATCCCAAGGTTTCCATATCCTGGACCAGGCCGTATCCTGAGCAGCTGCTGTGGTGGTCCTGGAGGAGTGGAGAGCATAAGTCTGATTCTTGGGACGCTCCAGGGACGAGTCTTCGCTCAGGCCCAGCTTCCAGCCTCCACCACTGAGACTGCAGCTCTGCACAAGACGTTTGGCCAGCGGAGAAATTTAAATGGTCGTGCCTGGTTTCTCTCAAGGTTTTTTTTCTTAATTTTCGCCAATTGGTGAAGTTTTTTTCCCTCTCGGCTGTCGCCACTAGTTTGCATGGTTTAGGATTGGTAGAGCTGCGCATGGATGGATTTGCTCTTGTTTGGACCCTCATTAGTGATTATCAAACCACACTGAACTGAGCTAAAATGAAATTAAACACTAAAAAACTGAACCACACTGTTCCAATTTATGATGATCTTTTATGTGAAGCTGCTTTGACACAATCTACATTTTAAAAGCGTTATACAAATAAAGCTGAATTGAATTGAACTGAATTAATATCTGTTGATTCTGCTCCTTCAACAGACATTTAACCATATAAGGAACTTAGCAAGTACATGTCAACTTACACTAGCCCTGACCCCAACCTAACAGTCTACTATAATCGAATGAGAATTAGTTGGTATGTAGATGCAACGTCACTTAAATTCAACAAACAAACAATTAAAATAAAGTGTGGCCATTAAGGTTGATTATGGAAGTAGTTAGGTAGGTTTTAGAAGGTCGGTATTAGGATTAGGGATGTAGAATAAGATTATGCAGAATAAATACTTTATAAGTACTAATAAACATCCAATATCTTAATAATAGAGAGGTAGTAAGCCACTAGATAATAATGAGAATTGGTCCTCAAATTAAAGTGTTGAAGACTGCGTTTAACAGCCAGATTTAGACACTTTGTCAGTGTTTGTGTGAGTCAAAATGAGTCGCCCTCCTGTCAATTTGATGTTTAACAGAGCAAGGAATTTTTTACAGTATTTCCTATAATATTTTTTCTTCTGGAGAAAGTCTTATTTGTTTAATTTTGGCTAGAAAAAAAGCTATTTTTATGACCATTTTAAGCTCAGTATTTTTAGCTCTCTTTAGCAATGATATTATTTGCGATTGTCGAACAAACCACTGTTATACAATGACTTGCCTAACCACCCTGACATGCCTAATTAACCTAGTTAAGCCTTTAAATGTCACTAAGCTGAATATGATAATCTTGAAAAATACCTAATCAAATATTTTACTGTCATCATGACAAATATAAAAGAAATCAGTTATTTAAAATGAGTTATTAAAACTATTATGTTTAGAAATGCGTCTTCTGTCTGCGCAATAGCCTAGTGGTTAGTGCGTCGACATATGGTGCTGTAGCCATATGTGTACACCATATGTGTACTCTGTTCCAATTACTATGACCATTTTTGTGAAGCTGCTCTGACACAATCTACATTGTAAAAGCGCTATACAAATAAAGCTGAATTGAATTGAATTGTAGTACTTCAGGGCGTCCCGAGTTCGAATCCCGGCTCGATGACATTTCCCATCCCTAACCCCTCTCTCTCCCACTTCGCTTTCTGTCTGAAATACTGTCCTATCCACTTTTTAAAGGCAAAAATAAAAAAATAAATAAATAAAAAAAGTAAAAGAAATGAGTCGTCTTACTGTTCAACAGAAACTGGAGAGGGGGGTATATACAAGAAGCAACCCAAGCTCATTCTGTAAACGTAGCCCCGCGGACGTTTCTGGAGACCGCGATTTACGTGGCCGGAGGTACGTAAAGGCCGCGTTTGGTTTTTTTCGAGCGAACGCCGCGGGGCGGTGTGGCGCCGCTCCGCCCCTCCTCTTCGCGCTCGCCGGCCAACGGCTCGCCACCGAGTGGAGGGCTTTCCCGACGCAATCAGTTTGTCCGCCTAGCTCACAGCGTTGCGTTGGCGGAGTGGAGGCCCCGGACGAGGAGGAGGAGGAGGAGCCGGCCGCGGTGGACGACGACCGGGATCGAGTCCGGGGAACAGCAGGTTCTGGAAATCAGGTGAGACGAAAAACGGAACCCGAAAAATGAGGGCGAGAACGCGGCGGGATCCGAAAACGCGGCCGAAATCGAAGACGAGGGCTTTTGCTTTTTTTTTTTTTTCCCGATCCGGCGGCTTTTCGCGTGAGAACGGCACGGGCGCAAAAGCCGCGCGCTCCCGAGAGGCGCCCGCCCGAGACGCGAAAAAGCGCGCACAGCGGCCTCTCGCGGATCTGCGAAAACAAAAAAAAGCTCGAATACGTACCTCCCGGGACGTAAATCGCGGTCCGCAGAAACGTCCGCGGGGCTACGTTTCCACAATGAGCCCGGGTTGACAAGAAGGCTAATAACTACATGTATGTCACGTTAACATGTCTTGTACATGACTAATAATGTCTTCTTTAAGTAACCGACTGTAGACAAAACAAGCCTATGTCTCCGTCTACACCTCTCCACTCCTCCACAGCCGCTCCGCCCTCTTGTTTTCGCTTTCCTCCATTTTATCAGTCTCCTTCAAACGAAAATCAATTCAGATGAAAAAAAAGACATATTTTCAGAAGACCCACCAGCGCACAAACCACAAATCCTATTACCCCCTTTTGGCAGTGAAGCATTGTGGGATTGAAAGCAGTGATCCAGGGGCCAGCCTCCAGCAGAGAGTGCATTGTGTCCCACAGAGGACCGCATGGGGGCCGAGGGGCCCCAGAGAGGGCGGCGGGGGCCTCCCAACCACAGACCCAGTGAGGCCCCTCACACCTTGGCT